CGACGCGGAGCCGGACGAGGAGCGCCGCGGACGCGAGCGCCGCGCACGCCACGACGGCGACCTCCACGTAGAAGAGGACGCGCCGCGTGTACCAGAGTTCGATGAGAAAGCACGCGACGAAGCCCGCGTCGCAGACCGACAGGAGCAGCAGCGTCCGCTTCTGCGCGTCCGACACGCGCGACTCCGCCACGACCAGGATGGGCTCGAGGACGGCCAGGAGCCCCAGCGCGAGCACGCCGAGCGACCGCAGGATCCACCGGTACCAGACCGTGCGCTTCTCGGACCGCGACCACGCGATCCCGCCCGCGTCGAAGAGCGCCAGCTCGTCGTCGTCGTCGGCGGCGGCGGCCGCCGCGGCGTCGGTCGGCGCGCGCGTGCCCCGCGACGGCGCGCGCGACGGCGCTTCCGACGACGGCGCTTCCGACGACGGCGCCCGCCGCTCGGCGGACGGCGCGGCCGACGGCTCCGCGGGCGCGACCGTGGGCGCGTACGTCGGCCGCCGCGTCGGCCACGGCACGGGCCGCGGCGTCGGCGGGTGGCAGTTCGACGCCTCGCACTCGATCCACGCATTATCGTAGGTGATGCCATCGGCCTCCACGGCGGTCGCGCACCAGGGGTAGCGGTAGCTGCCGCTCGCGCTGCTCTCCCATACGTCCGTGCAGCCGTCATAGGTCACGCCGTAGTAGATGAACGGAAAGATGCAGCCCTCGGGCTGGCAGTCCTCGAAGTCAAAGGTCTGGCCGGCGGCGATGGTCGTCGCGGCGGCGAGGACGAGCCGGCGAAACATGCTCGTCGCGAAGCGGTCTGATTCCAGCCTTCAAGCGGCTCCTCGTCTCCAAGCAGCACCTCGACTCGATATCAAGCAGCTCCTCGACGACGACGTCGATGGAGGGGCTGCCCCGCGCATCGACGATCGACGTCTCGGCAGCATCGGCCGCATCATCAGAGCGCGCTCATGATGCCGTCGCAGTGCGGCGGCAGCGGTGTGGCAATGGGATCTTCACGTTCTTGGGCCAAGAACACGCGCCGCAAGAGCATGCTCAAGAACACGCGCTGCATGCTCTGCCTGCTCGCCACCGGTAGCGTTGCGCTGGCGCCGAGCCGCCTCGTCGACGTCGCACCGCTCGCGCCGAGCCGCCTCTTCCGCCACGCGACGCCCCAGCCGCTCCGCGCCGAGGAGGAAGCCTTCCTCGCCGCCATCTCCTGCGACGGCGACGACGAGGCGCGCGCGCAACACATCTACGCGACGTACGGCGTCGTGCGGCTGCTGGAAGCGACGGCGAACGCCGACGCGCTCGTGCGCCAGGGCACGGCCGCGGGCGTCCCCGCCGACGCGTTCGGCCAAAGTTCGCGCGACGACCGCTTCACGATCCTGCTCCGGGGCACGGCGGAGAAGTGGGTCGGCGACGGCAGCGACGTCACGCACGACACCCGCGGCGACGGCATCCTCGCGCTCCAGGCGCCCGCCGTCGCCGCGCTCCTCGACGACGACGACGCGGCCTGGCGCAGGGTCTGCGGCGACGAGAGGATCGTGAGCCTCGCGGAGATGGTCGTGTCGAACCCGGGCGGCAAGCCCCAGAACTGGCACTACGACGGCGTCGGCGCCACGGCCCAGGTGGCCCTCGTCGACGTGACCTGCGTCATGGGGCCCACGGAGCTCGTGCCGCGCGTCATGCCGGCCGGCTACGTCTCCGGCCGGAACCGCCTCGCGCGCGCGGTCTTCGACGTCGAGACGCTCCTGACGCGCGCCGCCTGGGCCCTGGCGCGGCCCTTCGCGCCGTGGTTCGTCGACCGGGGCCTGCGCCCGGCGACGGTGCGTCTCACGGCGCCGAAGGGCTCCGTCGTCGTCTACGACTCGGCCATGTTCCACCGCGGCGGGGAGAACCGCGGCGAGGCGCCGCGGCCGATCCTGGCCATCCACGTCCGCGACGACCCTAACACCTAGCCTAGCGCGCCTTCGGCGGCCGGCCGCGCTTCCGTTTCGCGGGCGGCGCGTCCGGCGCCGGCTCCGGCGCGCGGACCTTCGGCGGGCGGCCCCGCTTGCGCTTCGGCGGCGGCGGCGCGGGGTCGTCGCTCTCCTCGGGCGGCGGCGGCGCGGGGTCGTCGTTCTCCTCGTCCTCTTCCGGCTCGTCCGCGGCCTCGTCGTTTTCGGCGTCGGCCTCCGCTTCGTCCGCGACCTCCTCGTCGTCGTTCGCGGCCTCCTCGCGCGCGTCCTCGGCCTCCTCGACTTCCGCTTCGTCCGCGACCTCCTCGGCCTCCGCTCCGTTCGCCTCCTCTGCGGCCTCGTCGGCCTCCTCGTCGTCCGCGTCCTCCTCGTCTTTCGCGTCCTCCTCGTCTTTCGCGGCCTCCTCGTCTCCGGCCTCTTCTTCCTTCGCGCCCGCGTCGTCCTCCTCGTCCTTCGCGCCCTCGGCCTCGTCGTCCTTCGCGCCCGCCTCCGCGTCCGCCTCTCGCGCGCGCGCCTCCGCCGCCTCGGCCCTGGCCTTCTCCGCGGCCTCGACTTTCGCCGCGCGCTGCTTCTCGAGGGACTCGGCCCAGAGCGCCTCGGCGCGCGGCGCGTCCTCGGGCACGCCGTGGCCCTCGAAGTAGCAGTAGCCCAGCGCGTCCATCGCGTCCGTCGAGCCGCGCGCGGCGGCGACCTCGAGCCATTTCACGCACGTCTTCTGCGACCGCACGAAGCCGCCGGCGTCGTCGCCGTCGCGGCGGCCGCAGTAGTGGAGCGCCGCCAGCGCGACCTGCGCGTTCAGGTCGCCGCGCACGGCCGGCAGGACGCGCGTCTCCTTGAGGCGCTTGTTGTTCACGCGCAGCCGGAGCTTGCCGCCGCCCGTCGCCGCGGCCCTGCCGTAGGCCTCCGCGGCGGCGGAAAAGTCCTTCGCCGCCTCGTGGCGCTTCCCGACCTCGTAGAGCGCCGCGACGCCATCTTCGTGGCTGCCCTCGGAGGCTGATGATTCGTCCATCGCGCCTTGGCCTTGGGTCAACAACCGTTCAATCACGGTTCAAAAACCGGCGTGTGCAATGGCCGGGTCGAGGAGCGCCGCGTCGAGCCCCAAGCCGCGCCGCAGCTCGCGCCTCGCGAGCCTCGAGAGCACGGAGTCGCCGCAGCCGACGTCGCCGCAGCCGTCGCGGGCGAAGCGCGCGCGCGCCGCCGGCGACGACGACGACGCCGCCGCGCCGGCGACCGCCGACGCGGACGCCGCCGCCGCGCCGACGACCGCGGCGCGCGACGACGACGCGTCGTCGGAGCCGCCGTCGCCGTCGCCCGCGCCGCGGCGGCGCAAGGTCGAGAGGTCGGCCTGGTCCGCGACGTTCAACGCCGACGCGGTTCGGGAGTTCGCGCGCCTCAGGGAGCACTTCGCCGTCGACATCGACCGCCACAAGCTGACCGTGCTCGACAAGGGCGAGTGGGTCGAGGGCTAGCCCGACGACGGGCGCGCCCGGGCGGCGGACTCGCCCGGGCCCGCGTAACGCGCGCTGTTGTGTTCCGCGGGGGAGCCTCCTCGGGGGCTGCGCCGCCGAGACCGGCCGGCGCGGGGCGACGCTCGGACGAGTGTGTTACGACCGCGCCGGTCGGGCCCGCGCTCAGCGGTTGAGGGACGATATGGAGTCGAAGATGGGGAGCTCCGTGAGGACGCAGACGTTGTAGACGACCTCGAGGCAGAGGAACGCGACGAAGAAGATGAGGACGTTGCGGCTGCCGAAGGAGTCGGCGAGCCGCGCGCCGAAGAGGCTCCCGAGCCAGGTGCCCGGCAGCGAGACGAGCCAGAGGCACACGGGCACGAGGCCGACGATGAAGTAGTACGTCGCCGCGATCGCGCTCACGAGGCCCACGACCTGCGCCGAAATCAACCGCTGCGGTCCTGACCAAACTTCAGACCTCTCGAGCTCGGTCAAATCGGCTGATGTTTGGACGAATCGATGGCTCTCATCGAGTTCTCCACGGAAATCAAGTCGCGTCGAAACCGTCGCATACGCCCACATTGAAGTCGGGTCGAAGATGTGATTCGAGACGCGGCCGGCGACGGTGATGCACGACACGCCCGCCTGCGTCGTGTCGACCTCGACGCGCCGCGGGTGCATGGTCAGGAGCATGTAGAGCATCTTCTCGATGCCGATGCCGATGAAGCCCGTGATGATGCCGCCGAGGAGGCCGACCGCGAGGATCGACTCCCGGGGCACGTGCGGCTTCTGGTTGTCGGGGACCTGGGCAGGAAACGGGTGATTCGACGTCGCTTCAACGTGAGCGTTCCTGCGCGCGCGCTCCAGAAAAACGCATCCGTGTTTCGAGGCCGCTCCGAGGGATGATCGCGCGTCCAAAAATCAGCCGAAACGAGTGGAAGGCGGCCGAGCTCGGAGCCTTTGAAGTTGGGAATTCGCGCGCTTTTCCTGCCCTGTCGGGGACGACGTCGGCCGCGTCGGCCTGGTCCATCATCTCGCGCCAGGACCCCGCCGACGGCCGGCGGCGCATCGTGCCCCGCGGGTTCTGGAGGTCGTGGACCACGGAGATGATGAGGACGACGACCTGTGTGGAAATCAACCACTGGTTTGGGGGGGGGGGCACCAAACTTCAGAACTCTCGAGCTCGGTCAAATCGACGTCGATTCGGCTGATTTTTCGACGAATCGATTGCTCTCGTTGAGTTCACGAAGCACGGCAGAAGAGCTCGTGTCGAAACCGTCGCATACGCTCACATTGAAGTCGGGTTGAAGATTTAGTTTCCACACGGACGACGACGACGATCGTGAAGATGAGCAGCACGTACCACTCCGGGTCGCCGAAGAAGTACCTAGAGATTCGAAGTCGAAAGCGGTCGAAGAAACAAGACGCCGAAGGACGCGCTCGAAGACGAAGAGCGTGAGGGACACGCCGATGCCGCCGGAGAACGTGCCCCAGAAGAGGATGTCGTGCAGGAACACGGCGTAGGCCTCGTAGACGATGAACGACCCGGGCACGAAGAGCCCGACGCCGATCATCTGCGTCGCCGCCGCGTAGGCCACGGCCTCCGACGGCGAGAAGCCCGCGAGCATGAGGATGGGGAAGAAGACGATGCCGCCGGCGACGGGCGCGCCCGCGGACGGGATCGTCGACGCGAGGCCCATGAGCGGCCCGTACCAGTACTTGGCGAGCTCGCTCGGCGGGTAGAGGACGCAGGGGATCGTGATCAGGAGCGCCAGCAGCGCGCTGCAGTAGGCGAGCTTCGTCCAGGTCATGGGCGTGTGCGTCGGCTCCGGCTCCGGCGCCTCGCCCTCGTCGCGCAGCTTGACGAACTCGGCGTGCTCCTCCTCGGGCACGAGGGCCTCCTCCTCGCCGCCCTTCCGTTCCACGTACATGGCGGCGTCGCGGACCGCGGACCGCCGGGTCCGGGGCAGCCCGGCGGACCACAGGGGCTTCGGATGACGGCGCAGAGAGAAGATGTAAAACTCAACACATGTGCTCGATGGCAAACCTCATTCAATGTCAGCCTTTGTTTTCGTGCACGAAATCTTCCGGTGGATCGGCGTCTGCTCCGTCGAAGCCGACGCGGGCGCGATCCTCGACGCGTCTCGCGTCTGAAGATGCTGGAGAGGCTCGCCTTTGCAGCGCTGCTGTCGGCGTCGTCCGCGGCCCAGGCTAGGCCCCTCGTCGTTCGAGGCGGCAGACACGGCGAGGTCGCCGGCATCGATCCTTCGGTGTTTTCCGCGCAGCAGGCACAGCGCAGAAGCCCTGCACCGCGGTTGAGGTACGCTTTTGTTGGCGACCGGCGCGGCAGCCTGCGAGACAAACACCTGCGAGACAAAAAGTCGCAGGAGCAGTGGAAGCGCGACCTCCGGGACGGCGTCGCCGTCGGCGCCGTCGGCTCCCGCGCGCGCATCGTCTTCGTGATGGGGCGCACCATCGCGTCGGCCCTGGCGCGGCCGCACCTCCTCTTCGCGTCCGCGACCATGGCGCTGGCGCAGTACTCGAACAGCTTCCACGGCGGCGGCGGCCACGGGGACGTCGCCGGCATCAACCTTTCGCATTATTCCGCGGAAGCCGTCGCGGCTCGGCAGGCGCAGCTGAGCGGCCCCGCACCTCCGTTGAAGTACGCGACCGTGCTCGGCGACGTGCGCGGCAGCCTGCGCGACAAGAAGGCGCAGGAACACTGGAAAGGCGACCTCATGGACGGCGTCGCCGGCGGCGCCGTCGGCGCCGGCTGCGGCGTGGCCTACAAGATGGGGCGCACCATCGCGTCGACCCTGTGGACGAACGCCGTCTTCGCGTCCGCGACCATCGCGCTGGCGCAGTACGCGAACGTCATCCACATCGACACGAGCCGCGCGCGCGAGCTCGTCGGGGGCGTCCTGCCGGCGGCGACGACCGCCTTCGAGCGCTACCGGCCGGCGCCCAAGGTCCTGTGGAAGGACCTCGAGGCCCGCGCGAGGGACCTCGAGGCCCGCGCGCGGCGCAACGAGCACCGCGCCGCGGGCGTCGTCGCGGGCTTCGTCGCCACCCTCGTGCTCTAGCACGCCCGTGTCTCCGGCACACCGCTTCCCCGGGCGGCCACCGTCCGGGGCTTTAATTAATGATATGTGAACCAATACGGCCGCCATCTGCGAGGAAACGAAAGATAAAATTAAAGCCGATAGCGCGTCGCCTAGATGGCGTCGCAGGTCCAGTCGCCGTCGCGGAAGGCGAACTCGTGGGAGGGCCAGAAGCGGTAGTCCGTCTTGAGCGTCGTCGCGACGACCTGGCCCTGGAGGTCCGACGTCTTGAGGCGGACCGCGTCGCCGTCGCGGACGGACCGCGTCGCGTCGACGAAGGCGTCGAGGTCGGCGACGGCGACGTCGTTGACCTCGACGATGAAGCGGCAGGCCTTGATGGCGTAGAAGTGGGCCGGCGAGCCGTAGAGGTAGTAGGAGCAGTAGACGCCCGTGCCCGGCGCGCCCATCTCCGTGACCGCGCGGTGCGGCGCCTGCAGCAGGAGCCCGCACCAGACGACGACGCGCTCCGTGCCCGCGCCGCACTTGACGGCGTCCGTCTTCAGCGCGACGTCGCGCGCGACGCCCTCGCGCCAGAGCGTTACGGTGACGGAGGCCTCGTCCTTCGCCGCGTCCTCGACGTCGCGGAACGTCGCCGTCGGCGACCCGTTGACGGCGAGCACGAGGTCGCCCTCGAGGATGCCGCCGTCGTCCCCCGCGTGGGCGAGCTGGGCCACCGATAAGACTTGGGACCGCGACGGCTGCGCGGCCTGGAGCTTGCGCACCCACGCCTCGCTCAGCTTCATCGACGTCCGCGCCGTCGACAGCGGCAGCCGCTTGAGCCCGAAGCCCACGGTCCGCAACGGCGCCGGCTGCGCGCCTTTAGCCGCGGCAAATTTCTCCGCCGCGTAGGCGAGCACGTCGACGGAGACGGCGTGGAACGCCTCGTAGTTCTTCTCGTCGTTCCAGCTGTAGAACGAGTAGCAGCTCCACGTGGCGACGACGTCGCCGGACGCGTCCACCAAGACGCCGCCGAGCGACTTGTTGAGCACCTGGTCGAACTTGGCGATCTCCTCGTTGAGCGCGCGGAACCGCGGCACGTGCGCGCTGGCTATATTGACGCAGGAGATCTCCGTCACGGTCACGTGCTGGCTCAGGGACTGGTCCGGGTTCGTGCGGCAGAGGCCCACGAACTGGAGGCGGTCGCCGACCTTGAGCTGGCTCGGCGTCAGTTTGGCAGCCGTCGGCCGGCAGTCCGGCGCGGCGCCGGCGAAGTGCGCCGGGTCGTACTGGATGAGCGCGAAGTTGTGCGTCGGGTGGACGAAGCGCACCTTGGCGGGGACCTCGACGGCCGCGGCGAAGGTCACGGCGCACTCGCCCAGGGACGTGACGACCGTGTTGCGGTCCACGGCGACGAGGCCCAGCGCCGCGTCGACGACCAAGCCCGCGCCCACAAAGTGCCAGTCGTGGACGCCGTCGATGGCGTGGAGCACGTCGAAGGACACCTTGCACAAACACGACACGACGGCGTTGGCCTCGGGCGAGTCGTGGCTCCGCTGGAACGTCGCGGAGCTCCGCTGCAGCGGGGATGGGTTGCGTGGTGTGGGTGCACCACTCACGACAGGCGTCGACGACCAGCAGGCGCGGTACTTGGCGTCGCAGGTGCCCGCGCGGCACGCGGCGCGCACGTCGGCGAGCGGCGGGTCGGTCCGCGTCCACCGGAGCACGCGGAACCAGCGCGCGTTGTTCCGAATGACCGCGACCTGCTCGTTGTACTGGTCGCCGATGTTGTAGAAGCGTAGTGTGACGCGCTGGCCGTCGGCGAGCTTGGACGCCGCCGCCTCGAAGGCCGCGAGCGTCGGCGTCGGCGCGTCGTCGACCGCGACGACGACGCTGTGCGCGGGCACGCCCGCGGCGTCCAGGACGAAGCCCGCGAAGGCGACGTAGACGCCGGACGTGCGGTCCAGATTGCCGTTGCGCGCCGCGCCGAGGCTCAGCTCGTGGAGCACGCCGGAGCCGAACTCGAGGAAGCTGTTCGGGTTCAACGCGTGGAGCGACTCCGCGCCGTCCGCGATCGTCAGCGACAGCCGCTTCCCCGCGCGCTCCACGACGAGGTCGAAGGGGGTGTTCTGGCACGTGTCGAGGAACGCCTCCAACCCGTCAAAGTCCGGGAACTTGTGGGGGCCGAGTTCCACCAAGAGGTCGCCCTCCGCCAGCCCCGCGGCCTCGCCCCGGCCGCCGCGGACGACCTGCTCCACGGCCAACAACCCCACGGCCGTGAGCGGGTCGCGGTGCCGCGCGTGGTAGGCGCGGAGCTCGCCCTCCGTCGCGTCGTTGACCCCGAAGCGGCGGATCTCGTCGCAGGTCAGGTGGCGCCAGACGACGCGGAGCGTGCCGCGCGGCGGCTCGACGCCCGCCTTCAACGCGTCGAGGGCGCGGACGACGGCGTGGAGCGGCAGGTAGTAGGACGCGCTCGAGTTGTTCGAGCCGCCGGCGTTCAAAGCGACGGCGCGGCCGGAAGAGTCCAAAACGGGCGACCCCGACGAGCCGCCGGACGTGTTCGACGCCGCGGAGATGTAGAAGGTGTTGAAGTCGTTGAAGCCGTCGGACTGGTAGTGGGGCGCGTTGCGGTCGAGGCGCGCGAGCGTGCCGCTCAGGATCGACACCTTCTCGCCCGCGTCGTTGCCGACGACGCGGATCTCCAGCCCCACCTTCGCCTTTTCGGGCGCGAGCTCGATGGCCGCGGCCTGGAGCTCGCCCGCGTACTTGAGGTGCGCGGCGTCGAAGTGGAAGAAGCCAAAGTCGTGGACGGGGTCCCGGTAGAGGGGCGTCAGCGGCACCTCCTCCTTGGTGACGAACGTCGCCTCGGCCCGGATGGGGCCCGTGCCGATGACGTGGCGATTCGTGACGATGATGCCGCGCTCAAAGTCCACGACGAAGCCCGTCGCGTGGGCGCTGCCGGCCTGGTCCCCGTCGAAGGGCTTGACGTAGTTGACGCGGATGACGACGATGGCCGGCAGCACGCGGTCGAGCATGCGCTCCCAGACGTCGCGCTGCCGCCGCCGCCACCAGGTCAGCGCCGCGGCGGCGATGAGGGCGCCGGCGGCGGCGACGGCGCGCGCCTGCTGCGGCGCCATGCAAGAACCTGCGGTCGGCCGCGAGCTGCGGCCGACCGACGCGCAGCTCGGCTCCTACGTCGCGGTATCGTCCTCGAGATCGAGGCAAGTTGACCTTGGTGCGGCTCAACATCGTCCTGCCGCAGCCCGGGTCTTACGATGGACAGGATTGAGCGCGGTTTTCTCGAGAAATTACAGGCGCAGCATCGGTCCGGCGACCTCGACGTCGACGCCGAAGAAGTGGTTCGTTATCTTGGCGGATGGTGCTCGCCCCTCTATTTTGCGACGAGGCTAGGTTGGTGCACGACCATGCGATGGCTCTTGGATCGCGGGGCCGACCCTCACAAGCGCGCGGACGACTGGACGCCGCTGCATCGCGCTGGTCACTATTGTCGAAACGAGGCAGCGGTCATCCTGCTCGACGCGGGCGCTGATGTCGATGCCAGCAGAAAACATGGGGTCCGCCCACTGCACGACGCTATTGACTGCAGATGCGAGGGCACAGCCCTGGGCACTTGCAAGCTGCTCTTGAGTCGCGGCGCGTCCCTCGACGTGCGCACTCGCAAAGGCAGAGACGCCGAGGCCTGGGCGCGAATCATCAACAAACCACGTCTAGCCGCGCTTTTCGCCGCCGTCCGCGCGGCCGGCGGCTGGAAGCCCTACGTGGACGCGCCGCGCCGCGAACTCCTCGCGCTCCGCCGGGAGCTGCCCTCCCTGCGCGAGCGCGGCCGCGCGACGCCGTCGGACAACCGCCTCTACGAGCGGCTCTTCCACGATGTGCGCGTCCCCGACGACGTCTTCACCCACGTCTTCTCCTACTGGCGCACGCCCCGCGACGCCTAAGATTAGGCGAAGAGCGGGTAGGGCTGGCGCTGGAGGAGGCCGTCGCCGAAGGCCGTCGCGCGCCGCCGGTCGCGCGCGAGGCCGCCGTCGCCCGCGGGGATCGCGTAGCACAGTTCGCCGAGATAGTCGGGTGGGCCGGGTCCCGGGACCGTGACGCGCGGCGTCGTCGCGGGCCGCCGCGGCGAGTCGCCGCTCGCGGGCCGCCGCGGCGAGTCGCCGCTGGCGAAGAACTGGATCGCGCCCGGCGGGTCCCGCGGCGGGTCGCGCCGCGGCGGCGCCTCGAAGAGGCGCTCGATCGCGCGCGTCGCCTCCGCGGCCTCGCGGTCCGAGGCGAAGTCGCTGCCGGCGGGCGAGTCCGCGGGCCGCAGCGCCGGCTCGACCTCGTCGAGCACCGCCGGCACGCCGTCCGGCGCCAGGGCGAGCTCCGCGACGTCGAGGCGCGCCGCGCGGCGCCGGTCCGCGTCGCGCCGCGCCTCGCGCTTGACGAAGGCGACCTCCGCGTCGCTCTCGTCCTCGGAAGCCTCGTCGTCGTCGCCCCGGGCCCGCCGGAGCTCGCGTGCCGTCGCCACGGCGTCGCGCGCCGTCTTCTTGACCTCCTCGAGGTCCCGCCGCAAACCGAGCACCGTCGACGACGGCTTCTTCGACGGCAGGACCGTCTCGTACCACGTCCTGTCGCTCGCGGCGTCCGCCTCCGCGCGGCTCCGGCGGAGCCGCCGCCGCTCCTGTTCCAGCGCGGCCACGCGCCGCGTCGCCGCGCCGACGTCGTCCTCGCGCCTGCGCCGCTCGGCGGCCGCGGCCTTGGTCGCCGCGGCGCACGCTTCGCGGAGCCGCGCGTTGTCCTTGGCCGCGTCCGCCGCGGCCCCGGCGGCGGTCGCCTCCCGCGCGCGCGCGGCCGCGGCGCCGGCCTCGGCCGCGGCGAGGCGCGCCTCGAGGGCCGTGACGTCCGCGGACGCGTCGAAGAAGTTGTCGAGCGCGAGCTCCTCGGCCGTCGCCTCGAACGCGAAGACCGCGGCCTCGTCGAGCGCGCGCTCGTCGGCCTGCGTCCGCAGCGCTTCCCGCAGCGCGTCGATCTCAGACCGGAGCGCCGCCTCGGACGACGAGAAGAGCCCCGCCGCGGAGGACCGCGTCTCCCGGAGCTCCGCGACCTCGAGATCGGCCTGGAGCCGCGCGTCCGACTCCGCGTCCAGGGACCGCTTGAGCTCGGCGACCTTCGCCTCGGCGTCCGCGAGCTCCATCTCCAGGGCCAGGCGCTCGGCCTTCGAGCGCGAGTCCTCGCGCCGCGCGCGCTCGCGCGCGGCCTCCAGCTCCAAGCTCGTGTCGTCGCCGTCGAGGCTGTCCCAGTCCGACGGCTCCTTGGCCGCCGCGGCCAGCGCGCCCGCGACGGCCTCGGCGGCCGCGGCGCGGTCCTCGAGCCGCGCGACCAAAGCCGGGTCCGCCGCGCCGAGGCGCGCGACCTCGCCCTTGTAGACGTCGACGACGTGCTTCGCCTCGGCCTCCTTGGCCGCGGACCTGTGTGGAAATCAAATCTTCAACCCGACTTCAATGTGCGCGTAATCGAACGGTTTGGACCAGACTCTTCGACTGCTCTTCGAGAACTCGACGAGAGCAATCGATTCGTCCAAAAATCAGCCGAATCGACTTCGAATTGGCCGAGCTAGAGAATTCTCAAGTTTGGTCAGGACCACCCAAACCAGTGGTTGATTTCCACACTGCCGCGGACTCGGCCGCGAGCGCCGCGAGCTCCGCGGTCACGAGGTCGGCCTCCGACGCCGTGTGCGACATGCGCCGGACCTCGCCCTTGTAGGCGTTGGCGACGTGCTTCGCCTCCGCGGCGCGCGCGGCGCCCTCCGCGCGGAGCGCGTCGACGATCGCGGCGAGCGCCGCGAGTTCGTCGTCGCGGTTCGCCTCCGAGAGCGCGGCGGCGTGCGACTCCTGGAGCCGCACCATGGCCGAGAAGTGGGACTCGGGGTCCCAGGAGCTCGCGGCCTCCAGCGAGCCCTGCAGGCGGCTCACGAGGTCCTCCAAATCCTTCGCGCGCGTCGCCTCGGCGCGCAGCTCCGCGAGCGCCTTCGACTCGTTCTCCTTGGCGTTCGCCGTGGCCAGGGTCATCGCGTCGAGCTGCTCCGTCGATTTGCGCCGGATGAGGCCGACGGTCTCGGAACGCTCGGCCTCGCGCGCGTCGCGCGCCGCGGCGTCGGCCGCGTGGTCCTCCGCGCGGCGGGCCAAGGCGTCCCGGAGCCGCGACGCCTCGGCCTCCGCCGCGGACAAAAGGTTCCGCGCGTCGCTCGCGTCCGCCGCGCGCGCGTCCAACGCGTAGCGCAGCTCCACCAAAGCTTCCTCCGCGGCGTCGCGGCGCACGCGCTCCGCGTCGAGCTCGGCCGCCGCGGCCGCGCGCGCGTCGGACGCGGAGGCGGCGTCCGTCGCGCGGAGCGCGTCGCCGCGCCGCGCGTCGGCCAGCGACGCCTCGGCGGCCTCGCGGCGCGCGCGCTCCGCGGCGAGGTCGCGCGCGAACGCGGCGCGCGCGTCGGCGACGGCGGCGTCGAGCGCCGCGGCGCCCGCGTCCGCGAGCGCGGCCTCGCGCGCCGCCGTCGCGTCGACGTCGCGGCCCGCGAGATCCTCGAGCTGCGCGACGCGCGCGTCCGCGGCGAAGCGCGCGTCCGCGGCCGCCCGCGCGACCCGCGCGGCCTCGGCCTCGGCCGCGGCCGTCTTTGCGCGCTCCGCCTCGAGGCCCCGAGTCCGGCCCGCGAGCGCGACGCGCAGCCGCTCCGCCTCCGCCTCGACCGCCGCGCGCGCGGCCGTCTCGACGCCGAGCCGCTCCAGCGCGTCGACGTACTGGTGCTCGACCTCGAGCGCCTTGCCGGGCGTCACGGGGCTCGTCGGCGGGCCGAGCGGCCGCTTCGCGTTCTCGCGCGCGTCCCGCAGCGACGTCAGCGCCGCGGCGTGCGACGCCCGCAGCGCCGACAGCGCCGCGTCGCCCTCGTCGACGCGCCGCTCCAGGTCCCGGGCGCGGCGCGCGCCGGTCTCGACGCGCCGCGCGAGGTCGTCGCGCGCGTCCGTCAGCGATTTGACGTCCGCGGCCAGCCCCGCCGCGGCGTCGCGCTCCGCGCGGAGCAGCGCCGTCGCGTCGCGCTCCGCGGCGTCCATGACGTCGCGCGTCGACGCGAGCTCCTTGGACGCGACGACG